GACCAAATGACCATATTTTGTATTATTACTAAAATGTAGACCTAATGCCCATATTTCTGTGTTATTATCAAATTGTCGACCTAATGACTATATTTTTGCAATATGTTGACCAAATGACAATATTTTTGTATTATTATTTAAATGTCAACCTAATGACGATATTTTGTATTATTAAAGAAATGTCGACCTAATGTCTACATTTTTGTATTATTATCATTATTATCTTTGTGTCGACCTAATGACCAATCTAGTGTGTAAAAAAATGTTGATGGTATTAGGTCAACAAAAATTTTTTATCTCCTAAAATATCACATAAAACATCATAATAATCCCCCCAAAGACTATTCTTATGTCTAATTACCTCAAATACGATATTATTTTTCTGTTTTTAGAAAATTTTCAAATTTTTCATTTGTCGACCTAATGACTATTTTTACACTATCATAATGTTGTGTCGACCTAAGGTCACATCCACAAGTATTATTATTATTATTATTATTATTATTATTATTATTATTATTATCATTTATTTGCCTGTATTTAAACAGAGTAGTTTAACACATTATAAATTACAATCTATGTATTGTGAAATCGAACATAAAAATAAACCAATCTATATTATGTACATGTCTTTGTTATTTTGTTTGAAACACAAACTTGCGGTATTACCCGATTGTTTAAATACAGTCAATAACTAAGAGCAACCTGTGTTGCCTACATAGGCTCTCATCATGCGTGACCTTTTGTTTGTCATACTTAAGATGATTTTAGATATCTCTATCATGTCCTCTGTGTCAACGTTAACTTCGTTGAATGCAAATAGAACAGATGTTCTTGAATAAGCATTAATATATTTCCTTGTGATTAATGTCAGTTTGGCATGCTCATCTGAGTACGCGTTGCAAGAATTCAGAAAGTGGTCAATTGTTTCTATTTCAAATAAATCACATAGCACACATATACAGTTAATACCAGAATTTTTAACGCGAAGATCATGACAGTCCGTGGCGAGGCGCATTATGTTTTTACATGGTATGAGAAGTTCTGGTTTTAGTCTTGATAACGTCCACCAGGCAGTTGGCTTCATAAGACCTGCTGACGTCTCACTGATATCGCAAATGTTCTGACATATTTCGTGCCTATTGTACATTGAGCTTGTTGTCCTAAAGTCTCGTCTTATCTCGCAGCCTATTAAGTCTCTAATCTTGAGCTTCCAAGCAGGTTTTGTTGGGAAAATGGCAGAGGTAAGCATTTCTATGACTGCCTCTTCTAGGTTGAACCGCTGTACACATTGCCACATTCTTGATATAGGTGAATTCCATGATGGCAAGCTGCACGTTACTATCTGAGTAAGTCTTAACAACATGAGTTGTTTATAAATGTTATTCATTGGCAGACAAAGTATTCCGAAAAACATCAGCAGTCGATCGTACATGATTTTCATTTGTATTGGCATAATCCCGAGGGGCATAATTGAAGTTGGGTTACTACTGTTCTTGGGCAAAAATTGTATGCGCCTGCAAATTTGGCGTTGTGTTACCTCTAGCTGCTCAATTTCTAATGTCATTGGATAAATTATATTGTGTTCTGTTGTTCAGTTCTTTTGTGCTACTTTACTGGCCTAGTTCAGTTGTAGTTGGATCCAGTTGTACCCTTACATGCCTTAGATTCAATGTCCTCTAAATGTTGATAACTGCCAGCACACGCTGTCACAATATTCTCTCAATGTCACAAACTGACACTTGAGTTACGTTAAACAATACCTGTGTCAGAAAATACCTGCGTCACACAATACCTGCGTCAGAAAATACCTGCGTCACACAATACCTGCCAGGAATGATTCAGCTCTAACCTTGAATCTGAAACAAAAGAGTATTGCATCAATAAGATAGTATTCATTTACCTTCGACTATACAGTGAAACCTGTAAAGTGGAACACATGCAGAAATGGAAGACCTCTGAAAGTGGAATACTTTCCAGTGTCCTAAGACCAACTGACT